CGTTCTTGGGTCCCGTATTGAAGTGAATATAGAAATGTTAACTCTCGAGGGTTAGCTACAAGCTAGAACTGAAGCTTTGAAGACAAAACTGAATTTAAAAATCCTTGCAGTAGCCCCTTGTGAAAATTTGAATTGTAGTTGATGTGACTCATCCAATATATAATACGTTGATGAATAATTACAAAGTTCCATCTGATTCATAAGCGGTTTCGGTGTCAGAGGAATGACCCCATCCATGACGCTTCCCTCTGTCCTCCTCCCACGTCTCCTCCACCCTCCTTTCTCTGTGCATTCCTTTCCCTCTCTCTCTCTTCTTCTCTTTCCATTTAGATAATTGCCATTAACAAGATGGAACGTTTTGAATTCAGCACCACGAACAGTTTTGTAAAAACAATTTCTCCAGGGAAAATGGTTTTAGACTTCCAAGTGAGACACCAGCAAGCCCCGTGCTCCTGCAGTGTCTATCCCGCTTCCCCTGCTCTTACACTCGGGCGGGGGGGAGATGTACACTGGCCCTTCCAGCTGGCTCCTTCAAGCCCCAGGACTGGGCCCCAGTGGGGTGGGATGGCCGTGGACTCTTGCTGAGGCGGCTTTGGAACAGGGAGCTGAGGCTGTTAAAAGCACAGGGTTGAAGCTCTCCAGGGTTCTGCCCGGGGCTGTGTCCTTCCTCCCTGTGTTTCCGTCATGGACCTTTCTGCTTCATTCTCTGCTGCACTTCCCCTCGCTCCTGGCCCGTGCTTCTGTCCCTCTGGCCGTGGTCGGCCTCCACCTGCAGTCTCAGTGATGTCCTCCACTCCCCAGCCCTTGACGCATCTCCAGACAACGCAGGCTTTCTTTTTTTTTTTTATTTTTGGTAGGAAATTAACACTGCTTGTTGTATTACATATTGATATCTTCAAAGTGATTTCTCATGAAAACAGAGAGACATGCAATATTGATCAATCAAGGACTCATTAACAGTTTCTTTCAGCAAAAAAATAGAAGACAGTAGAGCAACTATGATATCTATCCTGTATATATATACATACAACATTTCTCCTTCTTTCCCTTCTTTTTTCCCACATCCCAGTTGCCCTTTGATAGGAAAATGCTCAAGGGTAAAGGGCAAAACATGCAGGCTTTCTGAAGGCTTCCACGCTGACACTAAAAGACTGCCCCAGCGCCCGATCCGTACCACCACGGGAGGGAGACGGCCATTCTGTCCCTTAATCGCCCCAGTCAGGGCTGAAGTCCTAAAAGCAGCGTGCGGGCCTAGAAAGAACTGACCACTGCTCCCCTACCGCCATCGCTAGCTGCCTGGTACCCATCTGGGAGGACGCGGGTTTGGGTGGGAGTCACCCGTGGTGCTGGCACTCTGAAGGGGCAGAGGGGCAGATGGAGAGGGTGTCATGGGCGAGGCGTGCAGGAGGGGCTGCCCGCCGCCTGGTCAGCGCTCCATGTCCGCTGGAGCTCCCACCCTGCCACGTTGTGCGCTCACATTAGACTTCCATATTGTTACACTTACACACTGATTGCACTGGGAAGAGTCACTGATGACATGTTACTCCAGACTTTCATTTATGCACTGGCCAGGATTAAGTTTCTGATTTTCTTCATTCTGCAATAAGTACGTTCTTTTCCTTTTTCTTTTCTGAGGAACATATAATTAAGACTGTGCAAAGAATACCATCATGATAAACTTCACTTACTGTGTTTCTATTCTCATAAGCTGGGGGCCAAAGGGAAAAAAATATGACATGCTCTGCTGCAGTAATTTAAACAGATAGCGATTCTGCCAGCAGGGCACTCCTCTTCACGTCAGTCCACAGCCCTCGGTCCTGACACGACTGATACTTGGTACTTAGGCATAAGCAGGACTCTCTGACGGGAATAAAATTTGAAGTAGCTTTTCCTTAGCTTTGGGCTCATTATTGTAGTCCAAAGAAAACAAGAGCATGATCTTGAGAGCTGGCATGTTCATCACAGTGAAGCTGATTATCAGACGCCCCCTCCTCTCCTCAGCGAGGGTAGGCCGGAAGAGTGAAGAAGCCAGGGTTTTCTGCAAATTAAGACTTTTTCCCTAATCTGACAGTGTCGCCAGGTAAGACCGAATGGATTGCTTTCTACCTTCCACTAGGCCGAGACCTTGTCCTTTCCCGCTGACCTGGGCATGCCGAAATTCACCTCCTCTTCATAGCTGCTCAAAACCAAAAACAACATCTGGCTGTCTACCGGTGCACGGACAGAAGGCAAACGTGGATATGACTGGAAAACTGTTCTAACCCATCAGTCATTATTTACTCCAGAAAAGATCTAGGAGGAGGGAGGAAGAGAAATGCCTGCAGAAGGACTGTGAGAGCTGGCTCTAGCACCAGTTATGGTGAAGTCCAAATTCTGAAACAACGCAGGGGCCGTATTTAGCTTAACCAGACTTACATTGTCTGAGGCCAGCAAGAGGTAGCCAAGATGGATAGAACAGAAGGAAATAAAAAAGGGCTTTCTTCGGTAAATTTGTAATCTTGTGATTAATTGTGAAAACACAGGAACTCAAGGGATGTCTGCTCCATGCCAGTTCTGTCCTTTGCTGTTTAAATCAGTTAGTATAGCGCCCTGCTTTACCCCCGGAGATCTGTAATCAGATCGGGATCGGTTACGCCCTGGGGAGGACTCAGACTGACACACTTCTGAGAAGTCTTGCTTGGCAGGCGTGTCCCCCTTCTGAATAGGAGCGTGGAGAAGAGTGTGGTGGCGGGCGGAAGCTGTGCCCCTGCGCTCTGTGCCGAGTGGAGGTGAAGATGAGCTCGCCAGGGCGGGGCTGAGTCATGATTTGAACTCAGGAATGAACTTCTTTCCCTGCTGTACTGACAGCACGCTTTTAAGTGGATGTCACCCTGTTCTGTTTTTCATTTATTCTGTTACGCTTTTATGCAGTACTTTGCCAAAACCTGTACTGTGACTCTGCTAGTCACAGGTATATTTGCCAGTCTTTCACTTACAGAGATCAATCCCTGTCATAGTTACTGATAGACTGTCTTGGTCCTTGATTCTCCTCAAACTTACCAGACTTTGTTACTTCATGCTATACATTAAGTACTCTTACTTGGAAAAACATTGTAAACGAGAAATATAATATTGATTTATTTACTTATTTACTTTTTGAGACAGGGTTTCACTGTGTAGTGCAGGCTGACCTTGAACTCACTATGTAGCCCAGCCCTCAAACTCACAGAGATCCTCCTGCCTCAGCCTCCCGAGTGCTTGGACTACAGGCATGCACCACCACACCTGGCAAGAAATACAATTTTAAGGAGCCATTAATAAAATAAAGTATACATTAAACGTTAAGATTATTAGATCCATTATAAAGCTGTAAAACAAAATTTTAATATTTATGTCATCTCAAAGACTACAGGAAAACTAAGAAATTCATTTTAATTCCTTATTTGATGGATTGGAAACCAAAACCAAACTAGAAGTGAATATCACCTGCTGAATAATTGAATCAATATTTTGTGTCCTTTGGAATAAATTCCTGCAAACCGAGTATTGGGAAAAAGTATTATATCCACATACAAAGGCCAGAGCATTGCTATTATATACTAATACTGAATCAGTAGACATCTCTTGTCGATATTTCAGTTCCCAGTTAATATAGCTTAAACATATTTGATGATTTTTAATTCATTAATAATTTAATGCACTAAATGTATGTTCTTTGAGTCTAATGACATAATGCGTTTGTATTTGGCTTTACTATCAGGTACCTACACTTTACGTTCTTTTGTTTGTGGAGGCACTTTTGACCCAATGGCCACTTTATAAGGTACAAGTAAACAGAATGTAAGGATGCGACTAGTGTCCCCATGGATATCATTGGCTGTTGAAAATTTCCCATCAAAACTGAGCCCCTCTTCTTGCCGTAGGCCGGTAGACTCGCTCTTCCTTGTCCTCTAGCCCAGCCGCCGAGCCTTTTGTCTCACATCGCATGGGACTTTCTAACCCTTACTAATGGTAGTTGAGACACCATGCACTTACGAAGGTTCAGTTAGGAAGTACACATGCAGTCTGCGTGTGTGTGTGTTTGCATACACACGTATGTGCACAAAGGAAATGCCACCTGACATACGACATGTGACCATTATATGGGCGCATGGAAGCACAAGGGGAAGCCGCTCACCCCTGACGCCAGTTTGACCCCGCTAATATTTACCTCCTGAACAGAAACGCACAGTAATTACGTTAGGGTTAATGTGGCCTAAAGGACAGCTTCTGTTTTTGTTTTTTTTTTTTTCCCCTGCAATTTCACTTTTTTCTACCTAACTTTTTTTTTCTGTTGGCTGTGCTGGGGGTGGAACCCAGCAAGCGCTGTCCCCTGGAGCCAAGCCCTGGCCCCTCCGCCGCCCATGCTAAGAGTGAGCACCGCAGTGATTCATGCCAAACCGCCATCCTGTGCAGAGAGGGGGCCGTGGGTTAAGATCAGCCGAGCGAGCCCTGGGCTCAATTGTGTCCGTGAGGAAGTCGGTGGGCTGGGAGAGCCGTGCGCAGGGAGCTGCGTCCAGGGGGGCACGGATCTGGTACCATCAGAGCGACTTTCAGAGAAATGTCATAGCTGTGGGCTTTCTTTGATCCTAGTCTAAATCAATATATAGATACAGGCCCTTTTAGAATGGCTAAAAAATAAATGCATAAAAAAGCTTTAAAAATAATTGCCTAGGAAGGCCTGCCAGCAACACGTAGTAACCGTCATGCTTACTTGACGCAGGGCGGGGAGAGACTCTTTCAAGCCCTCTGGTCAGGACGCGGCAGTGCTGCTGAAGTCGATCTCAGGCCCTGCACAGGCTGCCAGCGGGGACCCTGCCCCCTGTGGTTTTGTCCCCCGAATAACAGTAACGGAGCCTGCATGGTGTGTTGGATGCCTTGCATGCGGAAGACATGCAGAGGCAAGGTGCAGTCTGCATGCCGCTTAATGAATGTTTCTCCTTTTCTCTCCCTCCCTGCCACGCGCTTTCAGAAGACAACAATGTGGAAGGTGGGTGCTTTCTCTCTTCTCTCCCGACTCCCATTTGCCTTTTATTTCTTAGTTTTAATAGAGAACATCTTGAACTTGGAAGGTAAGTTCAGCTTTTTCCTGAGCGTTTGTTGATTTCTGGAATGTGTATCGCTTTTCATACAGAACACGTCCACTCTGATGTGTGTCAGCCTCAGCGTAGGAGTGCCTTGCGTCTACAAGCGGCGCTTGGTGGATGGTAGCATCCTTCATGGGCCATACGATACTGACTGCCGTGCTCTGTATGGAAAAGGGATACAACGCTACTTTTTAAAAAAAGGGACGGAATGTCGTTGCAGTTCAGGACACAGTGCATGATCCTTTCTCCGTTTTTCCCTTGGTTTCTTCTATTCTGTTGGAAATGTTCGGCATTATATCATCTCAAGCTCATTGCTTTGTTTCAAATGATTTGATTTGTAAAAAAGAGCGCAGAATAAAATACTATAAGTAAGAGGCACACATTTAGCTTAAATAAAAGCCGCAGCCAGTGCAAAGGAGGCACACACGAATGTGACCACTGGTAAGTAAACGTGTAATAGTCCGTGTCTGTTAGATCTATAATGTGTAGTTCAAGTTTCCGCAAATTTCCTCCATCAGGGAATTTTGAGAAAGGTACACATTTTTTGCTAGAATACAACAAATGTATTTCAACATTTTTATTTTTAAATAACTTGAATGCTTTAGTCAATATGCTGCGGTCAAATCTTTAGAGGATGAATATACAAAGAGAACTAGATAGAAAGGTTTGTGAAGGGGAAAGTCTTTATCTTACACACACTCGATCATTTTGTATAATCACAGCATAAATACTTCTTCCACAATCAATTTTGCAGCAGACAGCATTTGGCATATTTTATTTTGCTATCGTATTTTTAAATATTATCATTTTGTAAAATGTGTGCATTTCTACAGAATGAAAGATTTCTCCCAAAAAGACTCCCTAGCCAAAGTTACAGATAAATTGCCAGGAAGGTCAGCAAGACTTAATATTTCAAAATGAAAGGATACTCCATGGTATACAAAGTTGACTGGTAGCAGGGTTCAACTTTGTATCTCTGGTTCTCTCGGGGGCATGTTACAACTGCTGCCAACCATTGCGGTTCTGTTATTTAAGTAAAAAATACATTAAAACTTCAAAAGAAATAATAAATCTTTTTTCCTAGTGTTAGCTCTGTATATGGCTTCTGTTTTTCTGTCTCATGATTTTAACAGCATGTGAGTATACAATCGATGAAGATGGTGTTAGCCGGCAGGTCCAGTAACTTTCTAAATCGCCCTCATTGATACTGTGCGATTATACTCCAGTGAGCTTTAAAACTCAGTCTCATTGGGATGAATGCCTCTGTATGCTGTAGTCCTTCATGCAAATTCCAATAAGATTCTCAGAATATAGCTTCGTAAACCATTGTAATAAAGTTTATGCAGTCTTAATTTTAATGTCCCTGTACATAAGAAGGCTTTGAGAATGTCGCTCACCTTAGAGGCAGGAAGTCCAGCAGGGGCTGTGTGAGCGCTTGGAGGATTTATTAAATGTCATCCTTATTTATGCAGTGTCTAAAGCATTAGAAATGTCTAACATAGTTTCTAAAAGTTAGATGTTATCACAGATAATTCTCTAGCTTATAAAAAAGTAGTAAACAGTTAATAGAAATGTGTGTATATATACATAGAAATATATATGTATAGTTTTAAAAGTTAAATGAAAAGTTATAAAACCTGAAGTAGTCAGTCATTCTTACACTATAAAATATTATGTCATTATCATATGATAAACTTTAGTTTGCTTGTGTGCATTTTTGGTAAAAACACAGAGGCTATGCTACAGAAACAACAAATTATTTTGTTATCTTATTTCCAGATCATATATTTATATGAGAATTTGTAATTATATCTGCCCCCAGAAGACATTTATATAATCCTAAGCATGTTAAGAGTATAGGTTATTTTAGTATTGATGCAACTAATACATATTTTTTAATTTACTGTTTATTTATTTATTTATTTTGAGACGAGTTGTCACTATGTAGTCCATGCTGACCTTGAACTCGCTTATGTAGACCAAGCTGGACTCAAACTCGCATTTGCCCTCCTGCCTCAGCCTCCCAGGTGCTGGGATTACAAGCGTGCACCACCATACCTGGCTGCATAATGTTTTATAGCTTGATTATAAATAGAATTAGGAATCTACAATACAAATTCATAAATGTAGTGTACCCATACTGTATTATACCACTATTTTCATGAACTCTTGACACACACAGTTTAAGAATTACCTTTATGAATTTATAGAAGTCATGCTTTTCAGTAAAAAGTAGTATCGATGGTGAAAGATCTTTGTAAAGTAGCATTTGCATTACTTTTTAGGAAAGAAGTGATCTTCATTCTAAACATGAGCATTAAGTAGGAAATAAGTAGAGATATTTTAGTACTATTAAAAGCATTTCTTGATGAGATTATCTTAAATACACTTTAACTTACAATTCACCATTATGTAACTAGCCTTTACATAAAATGTTAATAATTTTGTTCTCCATGGAAAATAAGTTGAGCCTATTAAAAATGATGCACTGTTTCTTAAAGACACTATTTTATAGTAAATTCAAACTTCACAACTACATGTATAATGGTCTCTTTTTAATTGATTAAGCCTAATCAGTTCCTACATGTGTGAGACAAGGAGACATTTCTGCATCAACATTATCAGTGTGACTAAGGATTTTTTTTCCATTTAATTATGAAACTATTCATTTTTTGATGAGGGGAAAAAGATCAGACCCAGCCCATGTTTCAGACATTCCTTTGGGGTTTTAAAAACTGCAATTTCATTACGGAAGAATGACAAGTCCAATGGGGGCAGTGTCCAAAACAATGTCATAAAGGCCACCAAGGGCGTATGTAATGCCAGGGACTGGTTGGATTTGAAATCTTGAGCTTACGATTGTTCCCAGTGATACTTTTAGAAGGAATATGCTGTGCAGCATATGCCTGTGTTTAAACTGCAGTCTATAATTCTTTGCCCCAAAGCATTCCAACCAGGGGTTGAAAGAATGCTTTCTGACTTGCCTCTGTGGTACAGACACGTCTCACAGGAAACAAGATGTCGGTCACTGAACATTTTTGTCACTGTGACAGCCTGCCTTCCCGTGCTCCCTTGTTTATTGCTGACTGTGCTCTTGTTTCCCTTCAAGGTCTGGCGCACCTGATGATGGGAGACCAAGGTATGGGCTCTGCTCCTTTTCCACTCGCTTCAGTGTCTTGTCGTCCTGTAGCTGCTTTGCAACCCTCTCTGCAAGGGGTGGGCACATGCTTGCAAGTGTTCTGGCTGCAAACTGAATACATAGCTTCTGTTCGCATTTTCTCATGTGCTTTCCTCACTTTTATTTGTGGTTTGGTTTTGGTTTGCTCCTGTGACTTTTATTTTCCTTCATTTCTTGCACTATAATATCTGCAGATAAATGGGGCATAAAAACCTGTGTTTGAAAATATCTGTATCTGTCAACACATGCAGTTAAAAGTGGTTACAATAGAAAGGCTAAGAAAGGCTGGAAGTTAGTATCTGAAAGACGAAAGTCAGTTTGACGTGAAGTCCATTGTTCATCCGTGCATGGCAGCTTGGGGACATGCAGAGTCTGTGGCTTTTGGCTCCTAGAATGCTGAATGCCGTGTCCCACGGAACCAGCACTCCTCCTGCCTACAGTGACGCGTGCCTCCCCTTCCGTCATCTTCAGTAACCAGCATGGACCTTCCAGTTCCTGCATGCGCGACACTCGGAGGGCAGAGTTCTCAGAACCTACTGACTGCAGCGCCATTTGTCTTTAAAACCTTATTTGTGCTTTCTTGTCTTGTTTAATTTTCAGAGAGCCGTGCATTTGCATATATTCATAATTCTTATTGTTGTTTTTCTCCTCTTGACTCACTTTGTCTGGAACTCCTTTCTTCATGGAACCATTTCATCAAATGCATAGGTAAAAGTAAAGGTATTACATTTTTTTTTTTTCCAAATACCAGCTGTATATATTGCATTGTGTCTAAACTGCAAATGTCCTCAGAGCTCTGGCGTTGATGATAGGCTCTGGAAGGCAGGTGTGTGTGTTAATGAATATTTGTGCAGTTAAGGTAAGAGAAATTCATCCAAACGTTTCTGTTCCATAGTCCTTCATCCTTTCCTTCTTCTTTCTGTTTGGCTTTTTGTAGAGTGATTTTTTTCATATCAGCTGCTTACATGATTAGTGTTTTTAGAAATTAGCTACAGATCCCGGTGTCAGTTTCCTCAGTGTCATTTAATGGTAGTTAAGTGATGAATGTGGTACCCGTGAATACATCATCTGCGAACATTAGGCTCGGGTGGGGCACACCTGCCCCTGCTGTCCCGTGTTGGGCTGTAAGTGAGCATGTGTGCCAATGAGATGGCACTGCTGCGGGCTCCTCACCTGTTGTCTGCCGATGTCATGTGTGTACATTACATGGCAACCTCAGAAGGCACGACCATGAAAAATGCAAAAGCAAAACAAACCTGTGTTTTATGTGCACTAACTAAGAGCATTGTCAGGCAGCTGCATATCCCTGCATCGTTTGGTAAGTCAGGCATGTACACTCTTTGCTGCTGTTGGTACAGAACTCAGAAGCATGCTTAACCTGCCATGTACAACCATCTCATCGTGCTCAGTGAAATCATTGTGAGAAAGCAGATGATATGCAGCTGCAGCACATGTGTAGAACGGTCTTTGACCATTTTTAAATGTGCCCTTGGTCTCCAGTTTTTAAATTTTTATTATTTTAAATTCAGGAATGTGTCTTCTTCTATACTCTGTGAATCTTCCTTATACTCTAAATATGAACACAGTGAATTGGGACCAAAGCTTACAGTTCTGTACTTTCACGTTTGTGTCATCCAGCAGAGAAACTTTGCAGCTTGAGAAAGCATCTGAACATAAGCCAAACAATAAGCAAGACATGGTACCAATGTTTGAAATGTGGAAAAAGAGCCTTTGAAACAAATGCTGTTTGGATACTTTGAATCAGTAACATATGCTACTGTAATTTTTGTTTTGGTCAGCCTTTTCCAGCAATAACATGATTAATTAAATCCCAAATCAAGTCTCTGGTAGCATGCAAATAACAGTACATATAAATTTTTTAAAAGATTTTTGTCTACCATTCAGGGTGCTTCCTGAACAGTTTTGCTTGAGGACAATTCCCATTGACTGACTGTGAACGCTCAGGTGTATTTCTGGCTATGTTATTTAGTCAGTGGACAAAGGATGGCCTAAGGGAACTAACTGTATATTCTGTTTTACTGGCTGGATAAATTAAACTTGCTTGTATATCTGCATGTGTATATTTGTATGGATGCATGTATACACACCGACTTCTAAGTATACACAGTCATATTCATTATTCTGTGAAAAAGTGATGACTTCTTTAATTGTGTAACCATTTAGCACTACTTGTGTAGTAGTTCATGTTTATATGCAGTTCATATCTGTTTTGGTGTAATTAATGTTGAGTGTCACTTCATTCAGTTTTACTCTATCAGTTTTAAAGGTTTTTCTGTTGATAGGTTACCGAACGTTATATTTTTATTTCTTCAGTTGTGATCAGATTTTGTGCCTTAGTCAACACAAAACTACAGGTGGCAAAATTTTGATTTTGCCATTGCATTCTTCTTTTAGTAATGAGACTAAGATGCTTTTTGATGTGAAATAGGGAAATGTGATTTTAAGATAGTATTTTGAAAATCAGTGTGGCCACCCATTACACTGGTGAACTGGGTATATAGAAATGAGAAACATGATTTGTCTGCCTTCTGTAATTGCAAATTAATTAATTGAGTCTACATTATAGAGAAAACATACTGTTCTGTTACATGGCATCTTTTTTGAAGAATGCCAGAATAGCAGGAAATAATAATGTGTTTAAGTTAGTAAAAGTGACAGAATAGAAGTGCTAGGAGATCTTTACAAAGAATGGTAGAAATTGAGAAAGAAGTAAGATAATATGCATCAAGGTCTCTCATAGGTATATGTCTCTACCTCCTACCTCCTGGTAGAGGAGTCCAGTGTCTGAAGTTTTCCTTGTATCTTTCCACTGCAGGTTAGATCCTAGTTATGCATACAGTAGGAATTAAACCTGTCTTGTTTGCACTGTGAGCTGCTGTCTTCCAGATCTTTACAGCTCAGTATCCTCCCAGGCTGCTGCTCTCCACATCGTGTAGAGCAGTGAATTCAGTGACTTTAGGATAAATCCATCCACTTTAATAAGTCAGGAAGTGAAACCAGATTCAAGAACATTATCATTTTGATTTCTTCTGTATGAATTTTTAATATTGTGTATATCTTTATAAAATACATCCCATTAAAAATGAGTCACACACATAAAAAGTGCAATCTTTAGATAAATTTCTTTGTTATGCTCCCCAGTGTCCTCTCCAGAGCTGAGCACTGGTGTCACTTGTGATGTGCCCTTGGAGAGCTGCTGTGGGTCCTTCCCTCCCCACAGCATCTCAGGGTGAGAAGCTGAAAACACCGTGTGTGTGGCAGACAACTGAGTCAGGTGCAGCTCTTTGCTATGTGCTGGCAGAATCAAAACACACGAAATGAGGGCTCACTCCCGCTCTCTGGCAGTGCTGCCTATTACCTTTCATCGGTTATTCTGTTTCAAACTTTTGTCAGTAATTTAGATACGTTTTCACGATTTCTAAATAAACCTGTTTCACCTTCCACTAGATATGCCTACGAATAAAATTTCATTTAAAGGAATTGTGATTTTCTTTGGAGAGCTGAGGACATAGTCTCCAGAGCCAACCTTCCTGCAACTGGCTGTGGATAGACGATTCACATAGTCTCTGTGAAATTCTGTTTGTATTCTTTTCCACTTAGAAGTTTGTCAGTGATAACTGTTTGGGTTACAGTGGTGCTGACATTATTCTCCTTTCTGTTCAGAATTCAGGTTGATCTTCTTTCCTGGAAATTAATGTTTCTTCTTTTCTCTCTCTTTCCTGTTTCTTTTTGTGTATGATCATTTCATTCCAACAATTGGCTATACGTTTATATTTTACTCTAATGGTTGTATAAAAGAAATGAATGACAAATTGAATCAGGATAAGTAAAAAAAAGTAAGTTTTGTGAGCAAATCCAGCCTTAAAAACTGGTTCATAGTTCAAAAACACAGGTTAGTAATTGTCAGTTAAGCGTTAGTGTGTTGATTAGAGATCTGTACTTTACCTTCACAACAATCATACTTGTAGTTGTGTATTTGTATGTGTGATTATGTTTAATGTCAAGTTTACCTAGTAGAGTGTAAGCTCCATGAGGGCAGGAAGTTTGCTGTTATTATTGTTGACCCTTGTATTTCTCGTACATTTCCTAATTGTATCTTGAATTTTCCATTTTTTGTGACCTAACGGGCAACTTGGAGAAGGTAAATAGATACAGAGGAGGAGAAGGCCGAGGTGGACAGTGCAATAGGGGAAAAGGCTGCGCTTTTATTCAGATAACACAGAGAGATGTTGAAAGTTTGTATAAAACTTCTCTGTCTCTGTTTCTAAACTTCCTTGTCTCCTGTAATTCATATCTTTTCCCAGAGTTGTGATATTTCTTTCTAACACAGTGTAATTCTATCACTTTCATATGATTACCATGCACTCTGCAGTTGTTCTGTGAGGAAATGATATTAATGTGTTTTTGTGTGTAAGTGTTCTCATATTTTTTGACGTCACGAACTGTCACCGGGATACATAATCAAAATGTGCTTTTTGACTTTCCCTATTCGAAGCAGGTAAATGACGTTTCCCAAAATTCAGCTATGATGCTTGTTACCTTGTATGGTCTGTATGAATTATTTTTCTTTGCTAAAATTTTTGTCAACTTTCCTGAGCCATAAAACCTGTTTGTAAATGAATGATCTGAATAGGATGAATGTTAACCTGTCAGAAAAATTAACATTTAAGTCTTATGATATGAATATATGTAAGACGTTGCATTTATAAATCCTATATCATGTTTGCAAAGTAAGGGTCCTTTGGAGTCTATCAAATAAATACATATGACTTCGTTTGATGATCCAGTGTACAAGTAGAGCTGGCAACTCATGGTAACACGTGTTAAAAAGTACATCAGCTTTATTATATAGTGAAATGTAGATATAGACTCATTAGAATCATTAAAGAAAACTAAACATAGGTTTCTCTCAAAATGAATGAAGTTAATATCTGGAGATAATAAGTTTCTGTACATTTAATTGATAAGCAACATTCAAAATTATCATGAGGTTTACAACTGTCTGCAGTGTCACATCATAATACTCTTATTGTCTCTTAAAATAGATTTCATATTGATACTTAGAGAAGTATAAACTGTTAGATGCTTTCATATTTTGTTTTGCTTCTCTCTGAGTTTATTCAGGATGCTAAGACAAAATAGCATAAACTAGGTAGATAATAAACAGAAATTTTCTTTTATCGTAGTTGTGGAACTAGGAAAGTCCAAGGTCAAGGTGCTGCTACATTTGTGACCAATGAGGGCCCGGTTACTGGGTGCTGGAGGGCAGGAGGGCTCCCTGGAATTCCTTTAGTAAGGGCCCGGTCCCGTTCGTGGGTGTTCTGCCCTAGAGGCGCATCGCCTCCTCATGTCCCACCTCCAGGGCATCACCTTGAGCGGTGGGTCATCAGCAGGTGAAATCCGAGGAACAGCAGCGCTCAGGGCACAGCCGCTTCCGTGACTTTTGTTACTGTCCCTCCGTCAGCTCTTCTGTTGCCTTGTAGCTGATTGGTCTGGACGGGCCTGACTTCATTTACCAGCCTCCTGCTGTGGGTTTGCTTTTTTTTTTTTTAAGTTTATCAGTACATGAGTGTATATGCGTTTGTTTTATAGTTTTTAAATACATTTTACTGTGATTTCTGATACGGAACTAATTTTTTTGTGGAACCTGTTTAATCATGACAGTCTGTTTCTTTTGTGTGGGTCTGTTTGTTTATTTG